ACGTGGGTCAGTAGCTCGGTAGGGATACGCCCCGAAGGGTGATGACAGCCCCTTAGGGATGCAAGCTTATACCCCGCGAAAACCTATCCTGTCGTAGGGGATCGTGGGAAGTATAGTTGGCGCACCCGGCTAGAGCGGCGAAGGAGCGATGCAACTGCGTCCGTCTCGGTGGTTCGCGGAATGTTATGCGTCGATCCCAAGTTGTCTCTTGACTGAATGTTTTAGTTTAGAAACTCCTGCGTCACATGGCCGGGAGGGCCCTCGCTCGCGCGGGGGCCGATGCGCTCGACACCACAATCTGCTTTCAGTCAAACAGTAAAACTGAAACTGACATTGCACAATCATTCCTTTATTAAGTCTGGTTTATGTCCTGAAGTCAAACTGAAAGTCAAAGTAGGGATACAAGCGATATACTCAGTCAAACATAGCAATGAATACAGGTAGGGGTTATACTGGGTTTATAAAAGGAAAGCAATGGTTACTTTTCTGTTCCCTGCCTCCGAAACTCCTCCTGAGTTCCGGCAGAGTTCCCGCAATCGGTGGGTTGACTCCCCACAGAGTCCTGCCGCCTTCCTCTCGTAACCAGGATTAGACTAATAGTAAGAATGGCAAAGGAAAAGAGGTTTCAGACTCTCGAGATACAGGAGAGGGACTGACTCAACTCTAAGGGGAGGGCCTTGCAATCTTCAATCGTATGAGGGCCCCATAATGGTGGCCAAAAACATGCAACAGCTTGGTCAAACGATGTCAAACCACCTTGCGTTGTCCTGCTGGCGATCTTCCAAATCGCAGCATTAACAGCGGAACTGCGGTAAGAACAGCTCGAAGGGGACGGAAAATATGACCAACCAGCGGAATAACTCCTCCCAGACGATCCTTCGAGTCACAGTGGTAACCTCTTTTTGCAGTTGGATCACTGTCCAAAGCTACAACGTCATTATCACTGACGAAAACCATCATCAGGCGTAGTGTAAACGGGCTTCTCACAGACCTCTTTGTGGTGCTTGACCCCGTGCTTAAGCTGTGGCGCCTCACTTTCATACCAAACGGCATCTACACAACCTAGAAGGGGAGCGTTCATATAGAGCATCACACTCCTGTGCTCTATTCAAAACGTAGGCAGAACACAACCGAGCATGGCAACCACGCGCAGCAGCAAGGTACCATGGTAGCATACCTCACCAAATATGAATGCCACAGCGGTAAAGTTCAGTGAAAACGCAGTAAAAACACGACATACTTACTGCAAAAACATAATGTGCGCATAGCGGGTGGCTAGCAAATATGCAGCAAATCACCCAGCCGCGCAACAAGGCTCTACCAATGGCAAGCTCAACAACACTTTAGCCGTTAGATGGTTGAAACAGTATGCCCATAGCCGTTGCTGAGCACTACCGAGACGAAAAAGTATTCGCTAGTGGACTACCAGTTACCAGCAACAAATGTGAAATAGCCGGGGCAGTTCCAAGTGAGCTTCAATGCTCTTTTCCTCTATCCAATCACCCTCTCCTTCTTGTTATATGGGGTTGGTACAGGCAATGCACTTCCCCTTCAGCCCATGAGCACATCCCGCCCTTAACCTGACCGGATCCAGTAGGAGTTATAGTGACTCCAAACAGCTCTGAACCATGCTCCACTACTCACCAAATGTGCTAATAGAGAAAGAATCTGACACTGAAGTATAAACACACACATGCGCAGCTAGCCCTTGGTTGCGCTCTGCTGTTCAGCATTTTACTCGCCGTCGGGTACTCGTTTTGTCTCTCTCTCCCTTGCTGCCACCGCTCTGCTGCATCGCCCGATCCTCACCTTGAGGTTGCTGGATCACCTGCATTCTCCCTCCTGCCTTATTTATTTCCGCCTCCTCCAGTGAATCTGGTCGGGACTGCGATTGTAATCATGGCTTGGCACGCTACTCACAGAGTGTGCGAGACAAGAATGAACCTTCCCTCACCCCGCATCTGTAGCTTTCTGAGACAAGCACATCTCGCCCCCCTGTCTCACTTCCGACTGGTGTGTTCACCTCCTAATTCTACCGCGAAGATCAAAAATGCCTTGACCGATGTGAAAATTCAAACACGGTGACGAAGAACTCGGTCGTGAGGTCAATCGTCGAAGAGAGGAATCTGGAGTAGGGACGAGATAACATCTCCAAACCAACGGAACAAGGAGCATCTCACCGCCATGATGTGCTGGCAATGTTGCGCCTTCCTATCGCTCCTTAGGCATGCAATAATGACGAGCCCTTGCTAAAACAAGAAATATACATCCCAAGAAATTCAGAATGAGCTTCCAGCTAGAACACGGGAGGATACATTGCTATTTCAAAAATTTCCTCTCCCCGGCCGCAGCTTTCGATACTCATACCGCCTAATTTACTAACTCTCTGCGAAAACTAATACCGCCATCATGCTCGCAATGCCTCAAAACCCCCGATTAGCATCTTAGATCGCAGAAAACGGTCAAGCAATGACCGATTTCTAACAATTTTGGCCCCCACCTTCTTCCCTCTCCACCATAGCTCCGCGCAGCCCATTGCTCTACTAGCTATCATTCTACTAACTTTCTACTAAATCTGAGGTCAGAAACAGGGTTGCCATGACAAAAAAATCCCGGTCTAAGCCCTCCCTCGCTCGGTTTCGTCTAGAAACGAGCGAGATATGCGTTTCCCTTTTTTTTTTTTTTTTCCTTCTTCTTCACTTCCATTTCTCGATTTATGCGTGTCATCCTTGCGCAGGGGCCATGCTAATCTTCCCTGTATCATTCCAATTTTAACGGATGTCCCGAAGGACCTTCTTCTTGACTTCCGCCATCTCCCACCCACGACTTTTTCTTCCTATCTCCCACTACACTCTGCCATCTGTCGTTTTGTCTTCACCTCTGCGCTCGCCCTGCCCCAAAACTATGGAAACGAGTCTTGGTTTGCCCGATTCTGTCGAGAATCGGGCGAACCGTTCACTTTTTACTCCCCCATCCTCACGCATCCACTCATTTCCCTCTCGTTTGCACGCACCCGGTGTAATTTTTCGTCCGGGTTCATTCCCTCTTTTCGCTGCTTCCCTGCTCCACTGCCTACCGCTTTACCTTCACGTTCGCCAGCCTCTTCATCATAGCACTGGGTCCCACTAGTGCGCAGCAACTGTTCAGCGGCTCCAATGATCCCACGAAAGTCTTCAAGGGGAAAAGCAACCGACGTCTTAGACAGTCTTGCGCTCCTATACCCAAATCCGATGATGAGCTGCCTACCAGTTATCGCCACAATCTCCTCGGCTCCGCACTGCTCAGGCGGAGTCCACCAACGTCTCGGGCCCCCATTTGGCAAGCTCCTGCCTCGGACAGCCGACCTCGGAGTCGAAGGCGCAGCCCTGCTACAAGGCCTATACGCGGGCCTGGGTGGACAGGGCCTGGTGCAGATCTCGGTGGCAGCAGCGATTATTCAAATGAGAACTCATAAGGCCTCAGTGGAGAGTGGTTCCACACGAACAGCAACCTGGGCCCTGCGCCCACTGCCCTGGTGCCCTCGTCCAGGCATAGTTCACCAGCTCTCGGGTTTCCAACGGCGATGCGCACACTCAAACCTGTCACGGTAGATGGCGGAGGCGGACTGTACACCCGCAACGACCCCCGCCACCCTCGTGGTGCAGCCTGCTGGCTCCCCCGGAACGTCCTCCAATCCCCTTTCACTTTAGGCTGTCGATGCTCTCCAAATGGGAAGCGAGGGAAGCCATGACCACGGGCCCCACCACTTCCACGCACATTGACCTCTTTGGTCCGTGCTTTAATGCGGGTGGGATGAGAAACTTTCACCAGCAACCCCAATTCACAGGAACCCAACTGAGCTCGTCGGTCCCGGCGCCGGCCTCGGAGCCGATCACCGGATCCAAGGCACTTAGCAAAATTTGGAAGTAGAAAAAAAAAAAAAAAAAAAAAAAATTTGATAAAAATAAACGTAAACGTGAAGACCCAAAAAGGCAAAGGGAACGAAAGGCCGTGTCACGCTGGCCTGTGACGCCGCGCACACCCAGGCTGCGCATGATTGCACCTCGCCGCCAACACCCCACGCGCGCCACCCACTTGGGCGACGACCTAAACTACCTTCCGCTCGCGCGCTGTCAAGCGGACGAGGCTGTGCTGGTGCGACTTCCGGGAAACACGCCAAATACCCTTGTAAGGGTATTTGGTACGACATCGTCCTCCTCCTTTTCATCTTCCTCCTCCTTCTCCACCTCCACCTCCTCCTCCTCCTCCGTCTCCTCCTCCTCCTCTTCCTCTTCTTCTTCTTCCTCTCCTCCATCGCCGTGGCCTCCTCCTCCTCCATCGTTGGGCCCTCCTCCTCTTCTTCCTCATCATCCTCTTTGTCCTCCTCCTCCTCCTCCTCATTGCCCTCCTCCTCCTCCTCCTCCTCCTCCTCCTCCTCCTCCTCCTCCTCCTCCTCCTCCTCGTCCTCCTCGTCTTCCTC